TGTGTTCTTTACCACTAGGACCAACTGAACATTTTCAATGTAGGTTTTTAAATGTTGATTTCCACCACTGTACTATAATAGGTTTTCCATTTAGGTGCTGATGAAGGTGACAACATATCACCGAAAATTTCACATTTAGAATAAAGTTCTACACCAAACTGGCTTATACCATCTCTAGCTGATCCTTGTTTTGACGCTTTCCCGAAAGTTACCCTCCAAAGAATTGTATTCTTAGCGTCGTTATACACACTCTATTTATATATATATATATATATATATATAATTATTATATATATATATATATATATATATATATATATATATATATTCCTCACAGTTCTTGATTGTTTCATGTTCGTTGACCATTAGATCTTCTACTTCATTCCCGATGCATAAGTATTGAGTTTTGTTTCTATTTAAAGAGAGGCCCCATTCTTCATATGTTTTAAAAAAACGTCTCGTTGTGAATTCTAAATCTTCCTTGTCTGCTGCCACTACTACTTGGTCGTCCGCAAAATGTAGAGTGTATAATGTTGTATCGTCGTCAAGTTGGATCCCCATTTTTGAACAGGAACTTCTCCAGTGTTTTAGTGCTTCATTTAAATAGATCTTAAATAGTATTGGAGAGAGGCAGCATCCTTGTCGTAAGCCTTTTGTTACTGGAAATTCTTCTGATAAGGTGTTGTTTAGTTTGATTTTTGATGATGCTTTATTGTATAATTGTTTGACTGCGGCGATGATCGTTCTATTTAATGAAGATCGTTCAAGAGACTTCCACAGCTTTCTCACAGGAATCGCGTCATATGCTTTTGTGAGATCCACACATAAAAGATGTATTTCATGGTTTCTTGCAACTTTCTTTTCATTCAGTTTTGTTATGGTAAATATGTGGTCTACGCAAGATCTTCCAGCTCTAAATCCTGCTTGCTGTTCAATTTCATGAGGTTCGTATTCTTTCTCAATCATGTTTTTTAAGATTTTACCAAACAGCCTGCTAAAGGTACTGGTGACAGAGATATATCTATAGTTTCCGCAAATATTCCAAACATATATTCCGGTTAAATATTCCATATATTTGCCACACTGCCTACAAAGAAACCGAGTTTTGCGGTTTTTCGTACTACTGTAGAACGTACATCTTCCATACAAATTATTCTGGATAGGTTGATTTCTTGTCTGCATGCCACAAATTCTCTTACTACTTATACGCTCACTACCTATATGCTAACCTCATACGAATTATTCTTAGAATATTTTGTTCTAGGGCTCGTCTGTGAATATGTTCGTCAATAAGTTGAAAACCTAAGTCTTCCAAAAACTTTCGTCTAGGAATGCGTGTGTCTATTCGATTTTTATATAATGTAAGAATTTATCCCAGCGAGATTCAAACAACTGTAAAAAATGACCATTTAGTCTTATCTACAATCTATGATTGTTTCTGATTTACCTTGTTGCATTATCAATGTTGTCGTCGTAGATAACAATAAAACGTTCTTACCTTTTCGAGGTACATACGATACAAGGGTACACTTCTCTTGAAATGCGAACATACTAGTTTTCTCTGGCGTTTGTTGTGTTAGCACTAGGGGAATTTGATGATTATTCTATCGTAACGTTCCTATAACAGTTAGAAGATGTTCACACTGAAGTAACGCGCGAGCTGAACGCTTGTGAAAAAATTATCCATGGTAACGTTTCTTCCTGTTCCCCGAATTGGTTCACACAGACGAGGTACAAGTCTACCAACCAACATATACTTCCATCTTGGACGTATAATACATCTTAGCGTCTGCTAAAGCATATATTTGAAGCATTATTATAGCGTAACGATTTGGTTTATTCGTTATGTAAACCCTAAATGAACATTTGCCGCGAAAGGCTTCTAACTTTTCAATATAAGGTTGAATGTTCGAATAAATGAACTTTGATGGTACACAAGGCAAATATCGAACACAGTATTTAATTAAATCTTGCCCAAGTACTTTCGATCACAAGATCATCCTCAGGGATCATCCTCCATAAAGTATGAAAATACTTTATGTATTTCATACTTTATGTCAACTTCAATTTCTCTCAAACTAACATCCTAATTATTATAAACAGGTTTGAGTGTGAGATCTGGATTATTCAATCTACATAACAATATTAGATATAATTTTATATTTCTTCAGTTGATTTCCTATAGTGGTGTCAGTTGGACCTTTGGTCAATACCTAGTTTCATAGAATCTTGAAAGGCGCAGATCACTTGTAACTGCCCTTCACAAGCTGTCATTTGTCACATGTCACCCCAATATTTCCGCCTCCGCCAGGCTGGGAGCCATTCTGTCTCCGGCTTCTATAATATAAAAATGTAGCTTCTCCAATTTAAATTTTAAAGTGTTTGTTTGTCTTTAGTGTATGTATTTGTTATGTCCCAGTTTACATGTATGACATTCGTTATTGCTGGATAGGCCACAATTGACGAAGTAAGTCTATAAACGTTAATCACATAAAAAACTTTTTTCAACTACAAACTTGGAGTTTTTATCCAAGTGAATTAAAATTTCTTTTTTAAAAAACGTTTCTTGGCTTATTTCAGATGCCCCTGAGGATGATCTTGTGATCGAAAGTACTTGGGCAAGATTTAATTAAATTCTGTGTTCGATATTTGCCTTGTGTACCATCAAAGTTCTAACTTTTCATCTATCGTAGTATATGCTGAAAGATTGTAATGTTTCGGTAGATTAGAATTAAAGAAAGGCTTCAAAAATCTCACGTATCGCAGCCAACTTGTCGAATTCTTGCCTTTTGTGATCGAACCGAATGTGTCTTAAAATGAACTGGAACCTCTTTAGCGACATCGTAAGGCGATAAATCTCCATTGACCTTCCATCTGTTCTAAATAAATCATCAGCATTTTGATGAATGCTTTTGTTAGCGCCAGATATGTACAACAGCCCAAACAGAGCTTTTAATTCTATAATATCAATTGGCCTAGCCGTTCTGTTATTGCATTTTACTATTTTTTCAGGAATATCTGTAGTGAAAAAAATTCCCAAATCTCTTTTATTACCAATTTTTGCCTAATATCGCCATTTGCTCCTGCCAGATTGGGTAGAAAATTTTCAGTACGGTTCGAACGTTATGATTAAATTCATGATGTTTCCTCCACCTTGTTCCATTCAAACAAACGTGGTATGCGTGGTATTACTTCTACTGGTACATGATTTTCGACGTTTTCTTCATCACAAAAATCCTCCTCTGAATTGGTATCATATTCTAGAACTTCTGAACAATCATCTTGCAAACTTGCGTCATCTTCTGGTTCCGGTTCAGAATTATTAACAATTTCGTAAAAAGTTGTTGCAACCTGATTTGTTCTCTTTCGTAAGCCATATTCACATACAACTCCTAAAATGAATATCTATTATTAAACTGACTATGGGCCAAAAACGACAAAAACTTACCGTTGAGTATAACACAAATGCTAACCTCGGTCGCTCACACCGTCAGGTCGAATAACATATGAACTATTCGCACTCGGCCACAGATTTTTTAAAACTGAATAGCGTGATGAGGATTCCAAAGCTACCTGGCCGCGCGGACAAAACAATATGCGCATTTGAGTTTTAGCGCGAAAAATCTACTACGTTGGTGTCAGGGACCAACCACTCGAGGGCTAATGTCACATTTTTCAGACGTTTCTTTATTCTCAGTATGAGATTATAGAACTAAAAGGTAGTTATCTTCGAGCAAGCGCTGGGAGAACTACAAGAAGGCGTATTAGTCAACGGAATGCGTCTAAACAACATTAGATATATCGACGACGCAGTAGTTTTTGCAGATAGTCTGGACGGTTTGCAAAGAATAATGTCGCATATATCACATATAAGTAGAGAACACGGACTTGATCTTAATTCGAAGAAAACAAAGTACATGGTAGTCAGTAAGCGCGAAATATTAAATACACAGCTTTTGGTTAACCAACATCCAATTGACAGAGTGGACAGCTACACATACCTTGTTACCAACATTAACAGCCAATGGGATCACTCCAGTGAAATAAAACAACGCATAGGAAAAGCGAGATCAGCGTTCATAATGATAAAGTCTCTTTTCAGAAGTCATGATTTACCGCTTGCTACCAAAATCTCTCTCATTAGATGCTATGTATTTTCTACCTTATTATACGGAGTAGAGACCTGGACACTTTCCGAAGCTTCCTTAAGAAAACTCGAGGCATTCGAGATGTGGTGTTACAGACGTATATTAAGAATTTCATGGGTGGATCGTGTGACTAATGTTGAGGTCCTACGTAGAATAGGCAAGGAATGCGAGATTATTAACACCATCAAAGAGCGCAAACTAGAATATCTTGGCCATGTTATGAGGAATGAACAGAGATACGGCTTGTTGCAACTCATTCTTCAGGGCAAGGTATTTGGAAAGAGAGGACCAGGGAGAAGAAGAATATCTTGGCTTCAAAACCTAAGAAAGTGGTTTAATACATCAACAACCGGACTATTCAGAATAGCAGCAAGCAAAGTTAGGATAGCCGTGTTGAACATCCGGAACGGATAGGCACCGTAAGAAGAAGAAGATAATTTTTCATTTTGACAAGCTATTATATAATGATATAATTCTAATAACAATGACTATTGTAGACTTACCGGGCCAATTACGGAGTAAATCCAAATAAACCAGAAAATATAACAAAACTCTACCAAAATAATCTGCTCTAACTTAAACCAATGTTCTTAAGACTTAAAAAATATGTTCTTAACAATCACATAATTGGCACCGCCAACCTGTTCTCACGTTGAATTCTTGACTAGAAATGTGCTTATCGGCGCAACACATTCTACCAACTTTTAAGAATTTCCGAGTTTCTAAATAGGTAATATGGATTGCCTAACTCTGAATCCTTATAAATTATTATTTATTTTACGTTACATAGGGTGTTCATTTGGCTAATAGCTTTCTAGAAACATTTTTTACACCTGCATTTTTCTTTTTCAGGTACGTATCGCAGTTAAAGAAGTACCTGAAAAAAATTTAGGGGCTGTACAACCTCTACATGAAGAAATTCGTCTTCATTCCCAGTTACGTCACAGAAATATTGTACAGTATTTGGGTTCACTGTCCGAGGATAATTATTTTAAGATTTTTATGGAACAAGTACCTGGAGGTTCACTTAGTGCCTTATTAAGATCAAAATGGGGTCCTTTAAAATCCAATGAGCATACTATGGCCTACTATACGAAACAAATATTGGAAGGATTGAAGTATCTGCACGATCAGAAAATTGTTCATAGAGATATAAAAGGTAGTTATCGAGCTTATCACTGGAAAAATAATTTTGGTTTAGTCCAATAAAGTTCTAAATCCGCCATTTTTTATATTTATTATTAATAAGATCTACTGATAAAGATGTGTAATTGAAGTATTGAAAATTAATTGAAAAAAGGCTGTATGACTTGTACACACTTCTAAAATATAAGTCAAAATAGCATCAGCGATATGTTCTCAAAAAAACTTGATAGTGTTTAAATTTTTATTAAAATCAGCTAAGTACTTTCAGCATGTCACCTGTCATCGTCAGCTGACAGGTGACAAGACCTTCCTATAAAGAACAAGACTAAAGATATCGGATAAGACGTAAGTTTTTGATCTTTGAAATATATAAAAATATCTTAAAGATTTCTTTCTTATAGGAAGCTCTGAAGATGGCATGAGACTGCTGAAAATACTTAGCTGATTTTAAGAAAAATTTACACACTGTCAAGTTTTTTTTGAGAACATACGTCTGATGCTAGTTTGGCCTACAATAAAAATTAAACTAAGAACTTTTGAAAATAATACACAGCTGAATTGTTAAAACTCTTAAATATCAAATTAGTGAGACTCTGTTACAAAAATGAAAAGTCAGGTGGACATGTCCATGTTTTTGGATTTAACCAGGCTTCGTATGTTCACGATTCCTATATTCATTATCCCGTGTCGTTGCTTTTGTAGTCTTAAAAGATTCATCCGGGGCAGGTGTTTCGATTTCATAACTGGTTATTTTTTACATGAAGGAGTAAGGCAACGGTGGAGTTATTATGTATAAACCTCATCATTACAAATTTTAGTACTATACATAGTTTATACTATTATTAACGAGAAAACTAATAAACATATATTTTAGGTGATAACGTTTTAGTCAACACATATAGTGGTGTAGTAAAAATTTCCGATTTTGGAACTTCAAAAAGACTTGCAGGACTTTGTCCCAGTACAGAAACATTTACTGGTACTCTTCAGTACATGGCACCAGAAGTAATCGACAAAGGACAAAGAGGTGAGTTAAAACGTTATTTTGAGCACTTATTATAAATTATTATTAGTTAAAAATATTTTTTACAATATACAGGGTAAGAAAATAAACAAACGATCAAATCAATTACTAATGTGTTGATGCACCTCGGTGGGTAAAAGACTCTTGGATGCACCTGGACTCGCTTCTGATTAGGTGGTCAATATCCTCCTGGGGTATCTCGTTTCATGCCCTAATTAACTCCTCCCGAAGTCTCCTACCCATCATGCTCCGCATGTGTTCAATTGGAGATAAATCTTGGGATCTTGTGGACCAGGGCAAAATATTGACTCCAGCCTGTTCAAAGAAGTCCATTATCACTCTTTCAATGTGGGGCCTTGCGTTGTCCTAATGAAAATTGGATGTTAGAGCGTCTGAATATAGGATATGAGATAAGATTCTAGAATTTCTCCTACGTATCGCTGAGCTGACGAAGAGTAGAGGTAACTTTAATCCAATAGTGATGGAACCCGACACCTTAACCCAAACAGTGCGGTGCATGTACCGTTCGACATAAAACTGTGGATTTTGTCTTTCACCACTTTGTCTTATGACACTGGCTCGGCCATCATGCATGCCTAAACAGAATCGAGATTCATCAGTAGAGACAACCTCATTCTATTCCTGATCCCAATCCAATTCTTTTCTGCATCATTCAAGACGATTATGTCGATGTTTAGCGCTAAGAGGTAGCACCCAGTGTGACCAAAAATGAAAAAAGACCACAGCTGTGAATTCGACGATAAATTGTTTCCATCCCAATTGGTGTTCCATGTTCTGCAAACCAGTTGTTTGCAAGAGACCTGGTAGTAAAGAAGTGGTCTTGTAGAGCAATCAACCTTAAGCGACTATCTTGACGCCCCTCTATCTTGTGTTCGGCCTTCTTGGCGTCGTGTCCGATAACACCTTAACACAGTATAAACTTCTGTGAACCATATTCGCAAGTGCACGAAAAGAAAATCAATCGTCTTTTAAAACTAAGTCTTATCAAACTCGCTCGATTGATGGAAATGTATGCATCTTCGTGAATTGTAAATGACTTTCAAAACTTCAGTAACCGCTAAACTTAAAAGTTTAATAACGAAAAAAATTTTAGTGACTAGTAACTTTAGAAAAAAATGAATAAAAAACGAGAATCTATAATGTTTAAATTTACTATTTATAGGATATGGTGCTCCCGCCGACATATGGTCCTTGGGTTGTACGGTAGTTGAAATGGCTACAGGGAAACCTCCATTTATTGAATTAGGATCTCCCCAGGCTGCAGTTTTTAAAGTGGGTTACTACAAGGCACATCCAGAAGTACCTGAAGAACTTTCAGAACGAGCCAGATCATTTATAAAGAGATGTTTCGAACCTGACCCGGAGAAAAGAGCCACAGCTGCACATTTACTAGAGGATCCATTTTTAGGTAATGTATACTACAATAAAAATTGTGTTTTCGTTGAGCGATTAGCTTCCGACGATAGTTCATAATAAGATTAACTTCATAGCCGAATGGAGCTTCCTAAATTAAATAAATTCTTTCCTAAAGTTTTCGATGACTTTGAAGTTAGAGGGTATTTCAAATGTAGTGGCGGAAATTTCTCGGAACAGTAAAGCCTGAGCTGACAAAGCAGTGGCGTTCCAAAACATACTTATGATTTAAATCAAATTGATATCAACAAAAAAATCAACAAATTGTTTTACATATATGTATGTGAAACCGTGGATACGGATTACAGTATTGATAAATATTAAAATTACAAAAATTGTTTTAACATTAAAAACGTTATTTTATATTATTACTCATTATTACTCACTGTGTAATAATGAGTAAATTGATTAAAAAAAATGATTAAACAAAAAACCAAAAATGGTATATAGATGGAGGCAACCGTATATACGTATTTCTGACTATTGGTCATCTTCAGTACGGTGCAGCCAAGTTAGAAAAGGAGCATATTAACTTGGGAAAGGATCACTATAGCAGCAATGCAACCAATTTGTGGCATTACGGTTAGAAGACGCTGAGGCTTTCCAGGGCAACAACTAACACCCACCACGGAGGAAGCTACAGCTACCTGGGGAAAAGAATGCCAAACCTTGAAACGTTTAAAACAAATGGAAAAAGATAATGCGAGTGAATAATAAAAGTAAAAAAGTAATGGCATGTATCGCAAAACAAAAAACCAAAAATGGTATATAGATGGAAGGCAACCGTATATACCTATTTTTGACTATTGGTCGTCTTCAGTACGGTGCAGCCAAGTTAGAAAAGGAGCATATTAACGTGGTATAGGATCACTGTAGCAGCAATGCAATAAATTTTTGGCATTAGAGTTAGAAGAGCCTGATGCTTTCCAGGACAACAACTTACACCAAAAGTGTTTGTCCTTGTGTAGTGTAGTGTGATGTTTAATTTTATGTTTATAATATTTTATTCTTGTTGGATAGGCCACAATTGACGAAATGCCCCTGAAGATGCTCTAGGGATCGAAAGAACTTAAGCAAGATTAAATTAATAAAACTGTACTCGATATCTGCCTTTTATTTGATCAAAGCATTAAATTATAAATTATATTGGGCGGTCAGATAGCTCAGCGGGCTGTGCGGCTGCCTCTCATTCGCTTCACTGTCGAATGGTTCAGTGGATGTGGGTTCGAGCCCCAGCTCGGTGTACTGAAAACAAAAAGTCTAACGCAGCAGTTTAAGATTCTAGATGAATCTGCGGCTTATACTAGGATATGCTGGGATCTGATCGGCCTATGGTGGAGCAGTACGGCAAGAGATAAGGGCTTGCGGCTCGGTGATACTCCTCCATAGATCCCTACCGGACGGGTGTAACGCCTAAAAAACCGGATATATATATATATATATATAATATATATATTATATATATATATATATATATATATATATATATATATATATATATATATATATATATTAAATTATATTGTTTAAATCTTTGTTTGAATTTAACTTAATACTATTGAACTTTTTTAATTAACGTAGGACCCGAAAGGAGACAAAAGACTGTTCGGTTAAACACCGAATTTAACCGAAGCGTTTCTGTACCTGCGGAAAAGAAATCCACAAGGCAAACAGGTCACAATAGTGCTCCTAATCAGACACCAGTAAGCCCAGAGACTGAGTAAGTACGCTTTGTATATCTTCTATTGCATGCATAATTTTATTTGTACAGCATGATATTGTAGTGAACATTTGTTGTCGGTTTTTAAACACATATAAAAACTATGTACTTTGTTTAATCCGTGTAATTTTAATTATATCAGCCAAGCATTGCAGGAAGAAGAAAATTGGCATTCAGTTGGGTAAGGGATCTAATAGAATTTGTTGAGATTTTTTATAGAATTAAAAAAAATTTAGACCAGATTTCTCATCTACAAACTTACCTTTTGTACCTTAAGTTTACATACACATGCACGCCATACATTGGTTAATCACATTCATTTATGAATTCAAAGGAATTAATAAACATTCAGAGTTTAATGTATTTTTAAAGAAAATTTTGCACAAATTCTCATGTGGTATTTAGGAATCTTCATTCTCGATCATTATTGTGCCGAGTATTGTTCATAAGAATAGAATGTTTAAGCTAGATATTCGGCTAGATATACAGTAGAATTAGTACAGATATAGTAGACTCTGTTAGGATTTAAAGAATTGATTGACTTTCTGTTAAATTCCTATTTACCCACAATAACTTCGAAGGGATATTTCTCAGTATTTGAAATATGCTTGGTAATATTTTCTCCAAAAAATGTGTAAGTGCTTCTTTTGTTACACTTTACTGTATCGTGTCCGGATATGCCATTCATATAATTAACTACAAATCTTTGGGGATACATAGATGGTGACAGTTTCTGCATGTAAAAAAGATATTCCATATTTTAATAATCTGGATCTGTTTTCCTCCATTCTACCATGTTTAGTTTTATCTGTTCTTAGCCTATTCATAGTTTTCCACGGTTTAAAGTCCAGACATTGGTCGGTTCATTGAACCTAAAGAATAGGAAAATATTCGGGCAGTTCATCCTGCGCTGTTCCTAAGTAGCTCAATTATTTGTTAAATCACCATATGTCATCCATCGTAGTGTCATTGGAGATAAACCGGGAGTGTGTGAGCAGAAAAGTGTAACGAAGAAAACACTTAACCACGGCTGTCAATGATCGTTTTATAACGTTGTGAACATTACGAAATAGACGTCAAACAGCAGTTTAAACCAAATATCATCTTGCTACTGCGTTGTGGAACCGCCATAAGTAAGCACACAGTAAGAAGAAGCTGGTCTCAAGTCATATATGCCCATGGAAGCTCCCAGACTGCAAAGACACAATCATGTAACGCGACTAGAATTTGGTCTAGAACTTCAAAATTTGAAACCAGTGGAGTCAATTTTCATTGGCAGTAGGAAAGATTGTATTGACGCCAAGGAGACGAAAATGCAGATGTCAATTTTACTACTGCTGCACATTTTGGTGGACGTTCAATTAGGGTGTGGGGCGCTATATGTTTGGAGGTACGAACAAAGTTAGTAGTGATTGATGGTGCTGCATAAACAGTAGATATATATATTAGAGATATTCTTTAAGACCATGTGATTGACTTTACTGGTAATCTGGATTGCCTTTACTGATTGACTTCCAGGCGCACCAATCACGCGCCTCGACTTTGCCTAGTCCTCCCCTTTTTAAACTTTTAAAACTTTTAATTATTTTAATTGGTTGAGAAATGAAAAAGTTTCATATAAAAGTTAAAACACTTTAAATATGGGACATTTTCGGATCTCACTCTCAGTCGTGGTTTTACTCTTAAGGAGTAGCCGTCGAGCTCCTCACTTGAAGGAATCGGCAATTTTGACACCAACACCGTAAAGACTCTGACGCTGAGTTTTTTCTACTTAGAAATATGTGTTTCATTTCTAAAGTACCTACACCACCTGCAGCATTGTCTTTTTCAAGATAATGACCAAAACAGAGCGTACCGGCTAACTACGCAATATTGCACAATATTGCGCAATAGTTAGATGAGATTAGTAAACATGGTTATGGCACCGAGATGCATTTCAATTTCCTACGTTTACTAATAATCGCCCGGAGACGACATGGCGCCCAACAAAAATCGAACGCACCACGACTCAGAGTGAGAGAGTCTCGTGCTCCAAGTGATCGAACATCACAACAGTTCCAACACGAGGCCTGCATCAAAACCACTTAAGAAAACAGCGGGGAGATGCATCGGATGTTAGTACATTACACACTAACATGCCGATATCCACCTTCTGCAGCCTGAAACCGTCGATGTGTTAGATTTTTTCGAGCCACCCGACTTCGATGCCGTACCTGATGCACGATGGATGTCCCCGGAGTAGCCAGTCCCTGCCTGTCCTACCAGTATGTGGTCCAGAGCACCACGGAGGCTCAGGTAAACTCGCCTACGACCCACCGGCGACATGCAGAAGGTACCTACAGGACTAGAACGGGACGTAGCGGCCGACGACCGACCACACCGCCGAGGATGGACCTGCAGATGCCGGCCACAACACCGACCACCGCCTGTGAGTGTTTTGTGCAGTGCTAGTGCGCGTTTCGCGAGAGTTACGCGAGTGGAAGTGTTAGAGAACTGTAAGTAGATCTGACAATATGGACATACCCATTTTTTTTTATAATATTTCATGCATTTTTATAATATTTCATGCATTTTTTCTTCCTTTTTTCCTATAGTTATGACTTGTAAAAAAAATGTTTTTTCTTAAGGATGTTAATAAAAATCAGCTTTTTTTATCAGCATCAGAGCCTCTAAAGCAGGGGGGGTGACGTCCAGTCAGATTTTCGGATCTCACTCTCAGTCGTGGTTTTACTCTTAAGGAGTAACCGTCGAGCTCCTCACTTGAAGGACTCGGCAATTTTCACACCAACACCGTAAAGACTCTGACGCTGAGTTTTTTTCTACTTAGAAATATGTGTTTCATTTCTAAAGTACCTACACCACCTGCAGCATTGTCTTTTTCAAGATAATGACCAAAACAGAGCGTACCGGCTAACTACGCAATATTGCTCAATATTGCGCAATAGTTAGATGATATTAGTAAACATGGTTATGGCACCGAGATGCATTTCAATTTCCTACGTTTACTAATAATCGCCCGGAGACGACATGATGAATTCTGGATAGTCGCCCACTGTGTAAAACACTTTTTGTTATAACTGGGTATAACAACAATGAATTGGCAAGTGTTCCCCAGACCTGAACCCGATAGAGCATGTATGGGACACGCTAGGCAAAAGATTTAGGGTACGAATTCCTGTTATTCAAAATAGAGAGGAAGTAAGGATTGCTTTGGGGTGTTGTTATTGCTTTAAGGGCAAAAACAACTAATCAATAGCCTTTTCATAAGTATGAGAAGAAGAATGACTGCAGTTGTTAGGGCTCAACTATTGGGCATATGGCACAACTTTTGTAAAACCCATTCCAACATTTCCTAACTTTCGTTTCTAGAGATTACGTTACAATGTATATTTTATAGAAGAAAAAATTATATGTTGTATCTGTTCCATTAAATACGCTTTGTGTAGTAATGAAACTCAATATTGTAGCAATTAAACACTGAAAACTTTGTTTTCAAACTTCCACAAAAATTTGTTTTAACTCTTATCACTACAGCTGTTTCGTCTGATTGCCTTTCTCAAGTGATCTATTTTTGGCATGCGTTTACACTTTATAGTCTCTAATGAAATAGGTTGAGAAGGGGAGAACTGTTCGTCTCCGAGTTGGTCATTCAGAATTATATCTGTGTTTTTTAATTTGTTGATTTTCATAGATTCTAACAAGGATAGCTTAAGGCCTTTATTTTGAATGTGAAGAATTTTAAATTCGTCGTTAAAAAATGATTGTGATCTAGAAGGTGAAGTGCGTATGTAGAATCTGTTTTTCTATTATTGAAAGCTCTTTTATGTTCTGCTATTCGTTTGTTAAAGTTTCTACCAGTTTGACCGATGTAAGTTTTTGGGTAGTCGCCACATTCAAGTTTGTACAAACCACCGTGTAAGTGTTTTCTATTTTGGCTTTTGTTGTTTTAGATATATTTGCCTAGGTTGTTATTTGTTCGGAAAGCTGCTGTTATTCCTTTCTTTTTTATGTATTTGGCTATTTTTGTTGTAATTTTGCCTGTATATGTAATCGAACAGAAGGTACTTGGTTTTTTCTCTCAGTATGTATATACTAATTTTTTATACCATTTCTTACACTATTATGTGGATAGTACCACATCAGTTCCTTTCATTTTCTACCTTAATCAATTTTCATATTACTTATGATGTCATAGATTCAACCTCAAACATTAATTCCACTAATTTACTACTCACTTATTTTTTAATAATAGAGATTTGCAGATTTGAGGCAATAAATTTTATAATTTTTAAAAAATTACATTAGCCTCTGAACATACCCATACCTAGTCATCTTTAGCTGTCTTCTTAAATTATATTTCCTGTCACCTCAACCAGTTGGTCTATCTCGTTTTAACTGACAAAAACCACATGTTAAAAACCGAACAAGGAGACATGTTGCTCCTCAACTATTAATTTTTATCCAATGTCATCGACCTAGAGTCACAATATAATTTAAATTTGGAATGATGTAAAACAATATATGGATGTCACAGCCACAAATTTAGTGTTAGCTCCAACTACATAAGAAGGCACTGATGATGATCTGATTAGACTGAACGTTATGCTACTGTATAAATTTTGACGACACTTTTTAAAAGTTTTAACTACATGTTTTTTATACATAAATACAATTGTGAACTGTTTTAACATCTGTATGTTTTTTTTATAAAATAAGAATAATTATAATAGAAATCATAGTGGGTGGGATAACTTAAAGGATAGAATGCCTAACATCATGCAGAAAGCGCTGATAACTGGCGCAGCGAAAACATCTAGATATTTTTAAAATATCTAGGACCCAGGTCGACTCAGCCAGAAAACAATTGAAATATTGGGCTTTTAAAGCGTAGCACTGGCCCCCCTGTTACCTTTCGTGTTTAAGGCAGGTCCCAGAAATAGCAGATTACTATTCTAGAAGTGCTATAAAGGGAGATTATTATAATAGATACCACTCTGAAGCAATGCCAAGCAAAACAAATCCAGGAAAACCGAAAACAGTAAAAATTATTAGAAATAAACCGTTCAATGGTATTGACAATTTGTAACAATAATAGTAACAACTAAAAATAAGCAATAAAATAATATTTCCTAGAAACAGTACAAAATTTACAGTAGATATACAAAAATGAAAAAATGATTTTTTTTTATGATTTGGAGGTATTAGTAAGGAAGTGAATTAGAGAGTGGATATTAATCCTCAGAAAGAATAAGAAATCGAAACACTAGATTCAAAATGTCATATTTACAACCATACGACCGAATACTCATCGTCAAAAACCATCATCTTCAGAGAAAGGGGAAAGAACAAATACAAATTTTCCAGAAGACATGTAAGACCCAGGAGTACTTACGAGTACTTTTTTACTTTTTCCAATCCGAATCAGATTCTGAAGACAGTTCCAAATTAACTTGTGAGTCAATTCTTTGATTTCAGTGCCTTTAATGTCGCCTGTTCCGATATAATTTTTATAGATCTGTCCCTGAAGTATCTGTTTATTAGTTTCTGCAGGCATTTCTATAGCATACATTTCGACTTTAGCCACTAAAGAGTGATTATTTGGCTTTCACTAAGCCCTAACCTTGGTTTTCCTCCGATTTCAGCTCCAATTTCTTCATCAATGGTAAAGCCGTGTGTATAATATAACAGCATTAATCTGCCATTATTAGGTTTGTTTTATTCGACTCACATTCGTTCTTTCATGGAAACAATAACATATGTAATGCATACACCCGTAGTTTAAATTTCTTTTTAAATAATGTCAGTTGTTTTTAATTTTATATCTTTAATGTACGGTACATAGAGCTATAGCCACTACCCTTTTTTGTCGGTACCTACTAAAAAGCTGTAAAAAAGTTCATACCTGCTTTCGATGTATAGAGTTAAATATTTAACCAATTTTTGACTATACGTATGTGTATGTGTTATCCCGTAATAATAAAATGATTATTCCCAATATTCTAAATGTTGATGATTGGTACTGCAAATATGTAAATAAATGGTAATTTCACATAGTAATTTTGGTGTTGTATGTGAATTGTGTTCTGTCCAAAAATATTGTTTGTAAATTGTAATCAGCTGTTTTTGTTTTGTTTGTGTAAAAGGTTTGTAGATGAGAAAAGGGATCTTGTTGAGGATTTTTTGGGCGATTATTTTAATCTTTAACTATTTTGTTAATTAGTAGTATTTTGATTTATTGTATTGGTTCTAAACATTATCAATTAAAAAGTTCAAAACAATCCAGACAAAGATTTCGTATCTATTCATAGAGGGGACATATAAATTTGGTTCAGAAAAATTTGATATAAACAAATCATTTAGCTATTATTAATTAAATTAGTTTACTAAAGGAAACACGTGCTGTGTTAAAATTAAAGACATATATGTACCAAAAATGGTTGCGGTGTTGCCAATTTTATATTTTGTTGATATTCTAATTATTCTAATTTTAAAAATTTATTCAAATCGAAAGACATAGTTAAATTATTTGCGTGAAATATACTGTAAAAGTGGCACATAATATTGTAATGGAAATAATTATTCCTAAAGAGAAGTAATATTGAGCCGTTACTAACACTCTGCCCATGGCGCTGGGCAGGTAACGTAGCTCGATATAATGACAAGAGGTGGACACGGAGAATTCTAGAATGGAGACCAAGGACGACAACAATAAGCATGGGAAGACCTCAAACAAGATGGGTAGATGACATAAGAGCAGTGGCTGGCAAACAGTGCATTAGATTGGCGCAAGATAGAGAAAGAGGGAAGCAATTGGAAGAGACCTACATTCAGGAGTGGATGGAAAAAAATTGTTGACAAAGAGACTAACGTCACACATCAAAATATTCTCTATTCTGTACCACTTTATTATGAGTTATTTTGTACCATTTTATGTAACCACTGTACCAGTTTTGTATGAGTGTTTAAGTCGAAAACAGCACTTCTCTTGTTCCCAAGGCCTTTCTAAATCCGAAATGAGAGTTTATTTCACATTTTTTATAAATTCGTTTTTGTACGATCTTTGGGAATATTATTAATAAGTGACTCATAGTAATGAGCCTTACCGCCTTATCGCATTTGCGGGAATTTGATTTCTTTGGTATACTATGAATTCTGAGTTATGCCATTCCTTTTTTGTATTGGTATCACGCCACTTTCATATATGTTGTTAAAAAGATGTGTTAGTAGTTTTTTGTTGTTATCATCTGTTAGTTTTACTACATCTATTTTTATTTCTTTTGGTCCACGAGCTTTCCAATTCTTTGCACATTGTATCGCATGTTCAACCCTTGTCTAAGATTGGGGGTCCTTCCATTTCCCACGGCGACGTCTGTTGCAATTCAGGTCTGTCATTCGCAAATAATTTTTCGATAGATTCCTCCCATACTAGAATTTGTTCGCTTCTTTCTTTAATAAATATTCTTCCTGTGTTGTCACTGCAAAGTTCAAGTGCTATGGTTAATGACAAACGGATAAATAGAATAGAAATGAAGTGTATATATAGATATAGTAATTATTAAATACACAGTAATTATCACATATCATATGTATATTACTTTTGTTACTCGGTTTGGCTGGTTCTCAAATAATGATACTCCTTAAATTATAAAATAATGTGCAAATATACAGTTTGTCACGCCTTCCATGAAAAAAAATTCGAATTCTATGTCGTTTTTAAAAATTACAATACAAATTACTTCAATATTTATTGAACATTGCATTTTTGTTACAGATATTTCAAAAAACTGCGTATTTGATATAAGTTTAGTTTTTATATTTTAGCAATAAAGTCTTCAATAACTGTAAATAACGATTCCTGTTTTTGAACCAAATATGTTTATATAATTGTTTGTATGTGTTGTTTGTGGTGGTATAATATTAATTAACTTACAGTTCTCATCAGAGTCGAGCTTCTTTACTACCACCTATTCAAATGCCTACCGCCCTTACTTTTAACAGGTAATTTTAACATTTTTTATTTCTCTAAAACCAACTTTAAATTTATAGGTTAAGAGTTTTCCGCTCATTTCTGTAGGTATCAGTTTTTATAATAAAATATGACTGAATTGTCTAATCAATGATAGTGGAACAAATTACTACCAAGTAACTTAGAAAATATGCAGCAGTCGACATTAATTAAATATCATTGTCATACTATAACTGTTTTTAATTGAATATGCTCTTTATGTGGGCAGCTCTCTTCTTCTTCTTGTCTCTCTCGAGGCACTACTTTTCTGTGGCACTTTATCGTTAGAACTTTATACCAAATTGTGTCCTTTTATTAAGTTTAAGGATTTCTACTAACATATATAAAAGAAACCGGATCAATCTTTTCCCAGCCTCTAAAATTTGGTTCCCCTATTTTGTAATACTTGCCTTATTGTCATATGACGTTTCTTTGGCTTATGGATTTCCCTTTGGTCTACTGCGTAAAAGTGATTATTGCAGGCATTAGTTCATTAGTCTCTCTAGCTTGCGTAGACTTATTTCTATTCAACTGCATAAAACTGACACGATTGAGTTTATAATAGAGCTTCCGGTGCAGCCTGTTCCCATTTTACGATGAATCATTCTGTTTCGTTGACGATTGAATTCTCGAATATCATTTTCTCTGAGTAGTGATTGGGGTGGTGATATATGGTTATCGATAATTTTTTTTTTTAATAGAGGCTGTCCTTTAGCGGCTGGACGCAGATCTTGGCCCTATTGTCCTTGTCCTATCAGTTTCTTCTGAGTGAGGTTTATAATGATTTATCCCTATTCGGACCTTTATTTTAGACGCCAGGTCTGTTAGATAAAACCATCAAGCCTCTCAAGCTTCCTCTCTGTCTACTATTTATTTGCTGGTTGTTTGGTAGTGGTTTGAGAGTGGAACCATTGCTGCCTCACGTTAGCAAAGGTTAGATAGCTGCCCATAAAATGCGTACATTGCTGATTCTCTGAGCCGACAGATTTTTTGGTATCTTGCGAGGTTGGAGTGGCCTCTGAAGACCTGTTCTATCTCCCGAATTTCATCTATGCTCAAAGTAGTTATTTGGTTTCCGAACAAGACGGTCTCCTTAGTCTGACGACAATAGGTCGACGGTCTCATTCATCTTGCCAGGTGTTAATCTAGTGATACGAAACTGGGTAAAAGGGTTTAAGTCTGAAACACACCTGTTCTGTAGCTTTTTTTAGCTTCTACATCGGCTGCCTCATTCCCCTAATAACAGAATGCCTAGGCACCTATCTAACAGCTTCTTTAATTTTAGCCTGCCATCTATTTTAAGCTATACAGTTCTGTAATTTGATAGGACTTTGATAAGTTTGAATTCTAGCTTTGATAATTTTCTCTGTCACTTCTTGTAGGCCAATGTCTCCTCCTAAAAAAGAGTAACTTGTTCACCAAGTTAAAAGCTGATCACATATTATCGTGTGGCTCGTACCTTCCGTACACCCTAATACTCCACTTTTACTTTAAATCTATGATCAAAGATCCAGACCGGACTATGGGAGTCTTTCGGCAACGCCGGCATGGTAAGCACCCACCTACCTTCGTCACATATGTCTACATGGCTACGAAGTCAACCAGTGTCTTTTTGGGCCAGGTTTCATATCTTTCAATCCGATACATGGATTTACATGTAATTATATATTTACATATAAATATCTCTATGCGGTATCCGTCATAAAAACTCCAAGACCGCTTTGGGGGTTCCCTGAAAGGCTCCAGAGATAAATAAACACGCCAACTTTTGCACCTCTTGAAGCGATTTTAAAAGACCGCCTTCGTGTTTGTTTTGGGTTTATACATCAGGTCCTAGCATTAACTCTTCTGCACTGGATCATAATTCTTATAGTACTGTGAGTCTTGGTTACCACATGTGGTTTCCATGATAGTTTACTAGCTATCACTACATCCGGATATCTCACTGTCTGTATTGGGATTATTGGACTCCCTAGTATCAGCCTTGATTACAATTACATTTAGTAACTTCTACTATCAATCTTTTGGGGAAGAAGTTTTAGGTTTGCTCTATAAGTTTTTTTCTAGGTGAGGTCAGCTTAGCAGCCTGTCACATCATCTCTCTCTCTCTCTCTCTCTCTCTCTCTCTCTCTCTCTCTCTCTCTCTCTCTCTCTCTCTCTCTCTCTCTCTCTCCCTTTCTCTCCCTTTCTCTAGAAGTAGATATTTTATTTTCGCGGTATTACAATCTTTCTATATCATCCTAATTCGTATTCCTAAGCATCCTTCTTTGAGCTCTGGATAAGCATAGTGTTTCGATTTTTCATTCTCTCTGAGGATTATTATCTACTCTTTAATTTGCTTCCTTACTAATACCCGCAAATCATAAAAAAGAATTCGAAGCTGTTTGTATAAATTTTGTACTGTTTTTAGGAAATAATATTTTATTGCCTTTTTATCGTTACTAATATTGTTACAAATTGTCCATACCATTGAATGGTCCCCTTTTTAATTTTTAATAATTTTCACTTTTACTCTTTTCGGTTTTCCTAGATTTTTTTGCTTGGTATTGCTTCAGAGTGGTATCTATTATAATATTCTCCCTTTCTAGCACTTCTAGAATAGTAATCTGCTATTTCTGGGACCTGCCCTATACAAGGGAGGTAATAGGAACATATTCATTGTATTCTGGTTGTGTCGACCTGGGTCTTAGATATTTTAAAAATATCTAGATGTTTTTTCGCCACGCCAGTTATCAACGCTCTCTGCGTGATGTTAAGTATTATATACTTTGAGTTATAAACTTCCCACTATGATCTCTATTATAATTATTCCTATACTTTAATTAAATATCAATACATTATAATTAATTTAGCGTTAATTATATAAATATCACTTGCAAGAAAATGTAAAATTTTAAAAGAAACAGACCTATGTCTATTTTTGTTTATTGTATGTTTAAAAAAATGATAAACCAACTTAAATATGTTTTCTATATAAAATTAGATGTGTGCTAAAATGGTTTTATTTTAAACTCTCCGCGTTTGTTGGTTCCTCTTATTCGAATTAGGTAATGTCGGTCTTGATCAGATTGTGTTGTATGAAAATAATACATGTCACGCTTATTTGTGTATTATCGTATTGTTATTTATACTATCATTGATTATTCATGTAAAAGAAGTTTTATTAAAAAACATCTGCAGAAGTACCGGACAGGTATAGATATAAAAAATCACCATGTAACGGAATAACTTTATTACTGGAATTTAGGTTTTACTGTGTTCCGCTACACACGCGCCGAGAGAAATAATCTGAATTAGAGGTTGACGAATCGATTAATACTTGATCCGGCAAGGTGCAGGAAGTGACCAATCAATACTTAGTCATAGTACGGTTTTGCGTTATATCAACAGTCTAAGACTGGTCCGAGAACCCAGTCTTAGACTGAAAGTTCGATGGACCAAGAATCTATAGGCCGTAGAAAAAAAGTTTCAAACAAAAAATGTAGATGAGATAATTTTGAACAAAAATGTTTAAGTATAAGCACTTCTTGTGGAGAATGAATTCTCAGAAACAAGGTTTCTGAGAATTCATTCTGATATGGTAGTCAGTTTGGGTTCAGAAACAAACTAGAATCCAGAGAAGCGTTATTTGCTTTGAATGTGTTAGCGCAAAGATGCACGGATATGAATGCTGATGTGCATGTTTGTTACGTTGATTTTGAAAAAGCATTTGACAAAGTAAAACATGGAAAATTAGTCCAAATTCTAAAGACAAAAAACATAGACCATAGGGACTTACGAATAATAACAAACCTCTACTGGAATCAAAGAGCACAAATCGTAATAGATAACGAACCCAGCCCAGAAATTGAAATCAGAAGAGGAGTTAGGCAGGGATGTAGGGACGGAAGATCTATTAACAACATAAAATATGCAAATGACACCGTGATTATGGCAAGCTCTGCTGAACAACTCTAGTTACTGCTAAGCAAAACAAACTGTGACTTTTACTGTGAAAAATATGAACTAAAAATGAATATAAAAAAGACCAAATACATGATAATAACAAAGGAAGCAAATATACCAACAAACATACAGTTGGGAAATGTACCGATAGAAAGGATTGATAAATACAAATACCTAGGAGCCTGAATTTCAGACAATAATGATCAAATAACCTAAATAAGAGCAGGATAAAAATATTAAGAAATGGGTTTGTAAAAATTAAAACAATTCTCTGCAACAAAGACCTTAGATTAGAACTGAGAGTAAGAGCACTGAGATGCTGCGTGTTTTCGATACTGCAATATGGACTTGAAAGCTGGACATTGAAGCAAGAACACATAAATAAGCTACAGTCCTTTGAAATGTGGTGTTACAGGAGGATGCTTAGAACAGCATGGACACAGAAGAAAACTAACACGGAAGTATTGCGAGAAATGGGCAAAAAATGCGAAATAATAAACACAATAAAAATAAGAAAGTTTCAATATCTGGCACACGTAATCAAGGGACAGCGATATAAAATGCTAAGGCTGATAATACAGGGAAAGATAAGAGGAGGAAGGAGTATAGGAAGAAAGAGAGTGTCATGGTTGAAGAATTTATGGGACTGATTTAAATGTAGTTCTATAGAACTCTTCAGAGCAGAAGTAGATAGAGTAAAGATAGTGATGATGATATCCAATCTACGATTCGGGAGACGGCACTTGAAGAAGAAGGGTATTATTTTCACATTGTTTGATATTGAGTACTAGATCTACCCTGGTGTTTTCCAAAAATTTAGTTTATTCCTTACATTTATAATCGCATTTGGCTTTAACTTAAATAACAGTATTATTTTTATTTTTTTATTAATTGTTATGTATTGTAAAGATATATTTTAGATGTTGAGTTATACTTCAAGTTATGGTACTTGTTAGATACAAGGGGTATATTTAAATATCGTTATTATAATTTTAAAAGTGTTGTTAATGGGAACACTAATATTAGTAAGTAATCACCTACTTGATAAAAGTTGTTTTATGGAGTGTTTTGTCTTTTCGTTTTTATGGTGTATTTTGTATTGTGTTTTGTTTAAAGTTTGTATTTTGTCTCAATATTTAGTGATTAAGTATTTTCCAATCCACAAGGAAAAGTTAATTTCATGTAGCCGGCTGTGTACCATAAATCTAAAAAATTTAAAACAACCCTTACGAGCTACATCACATAACGTTTCGGTCTTATTCGTCCATATTCAATGCTGTTAATAGGTATACATATTTATAGACACCAAAACCACCATTTGTTTTTTACTTTTTATGCTTATTTAAAAAAAATCAAAGCAAAATCATCTGTACGTCTTCAAGAATTTCTCATCAGCTATCCGTCATATACCTTTTAGAATCTTAAAAATACCTGCATAACATTTTTTCAGCTTTTTTCTTTTTGTAACCAATTTGTATGTGGCTTTTTGCAAATATTCAAGTATCACTAATGATGGTCTGTTGTTGTTGTTAATCCTTTTGGATAATTTTCTTATATTATTTTACTATAAATTAATTTTAATATAATTTGTGGATGTATGGATAACAGTTTTGGTAACAATTAATCGCCTATGGTGAAAATTGTAATTATTTTTATTGTCACCGCGATTATTAATATTTGTCATTCTGTAAATATTATGTAAGATTATGTATAGTCTAGTGAAAAACACGTTTGTTCATTATCCAATACTTTTTTCTAATCAAGAATCTGTTTACATCCTTTTTTATAGTTTCTATTTTCCTTCCCTACTGTGTTCCCCTTAGGCCAATAATGTGTTGAACTTTATTTTTTCTGAATATTATTCCTTCGACCGGTTAGTGATTGTTTAAATTGCTGTAAAATATCTCTCACCAGTCTAATCGAAGTTTACACACTTACTTAGTACTTTTATATTGTTATTATTTTTAATATTAATTATATCTATTATTTCATAAGTTTGGCCTCCACGCCATCCTTGGATTGCGAAAGCGAGAATCCAAACACGGAACGAAGGAATTCATCTGGCACTTTATTATCACCTGAGGTTGATACCGGTACCGAAACAGATGGATTTTACCTGCTGAAGAAAGACTCACAACGACGAACAACGCTTGCTAAAGTAAGTTATGCTTAAGTTAATCACTTGTAAAATTAAGATCTATACACAATCCTGCTGATAAACCCTTTAAAAATGCTTGCCTTGCATTTATTGACAGGGTGACACCTGTGATAGCTTCTAAAGATGCCGTTCCTGTACTATTTAAGGCCCTTGTCATAATTAGGAACATAGAAACGTTTGTCTTTGTAGGGTAAAGTACTGAACCATATGTAACTGTCGATCGTATTACTGATGTGCATGACACATTACCTTTGGTTTGAGCCCCCAGGTTTTATCTACAACTCGTCTGCAGTCCCAGAAGAGTAGCGTATCCTTATTGGTTACGTTGTTAATATGGATATTCTAATTGAGTTTGTAATCAGTTACTACGTAAGCTGAGTCTCCTTCCAGTTCACTATGTCAATCACAAAATAAAATTAGTTTGATCAATGTTTATATTCTCAGACGAAAGTAGCAATAGGCCCAATGGTTTTTGGGTTTGATTCCAATCAATTGATTAGAATTTTTGAGTAAAAATATTTTAATTATTTATAGGTTCTTGCCAACGATGGTGTGAAGATATGCGAAGTATGGATGCAAAAAGTTAGGGAAAAGTATTTAGGGGAGACGGTACTGACAGAAAAGCATCTGTTAAGGTTAATGGATGGCTTGAAGGCTTACCTCACGGAACAGTCAATGACCGTTGTGGAGAACACTGTGAGACAGTTAAAGGAAGAACTGGACTTCGATTCTGCAGCCATAAATCAACTACAATTTGCCATATATCTATATCAGGTAAGAGTGTTTAACTCTAATTATTAACTGTAATATTAACTTTGTTTAGAAAAAAATAATTACGTCTAAAATAACAATTTGTTTGTATTGTGACACAAAATTAACTACATCAACTACAGATAATAATAGGTTACCACAGATTACAACCGGTAACAATAGAGTCCTTAATGTATGCAGACGACATAGTACTAATAGCAGATTCCGAGAATAAAATGAAGAAACTAATGGATATAATAGGTAGAAGAAATAGAAGAACTAAAAATGGAGATAAACGAGGAAAAAGGTAAGATAATGATAATCAGCGGCAAAGGAGATCGCGAAGATAATCAAATAAAGATAAAATGTAAAAACTCAGAATTGGAAATAGTAACAACTTACGAATACCTGGGAAGTATAATAACTAGACTTCGGCAAATATGCAAATAAAAATGTAGAAAATATGCGCATAAATATGCACGTGTTTACCCGAAAATATGCAAATATTTTACAAAATATGCATACAAATAGATAAAAAAATCGTAAAATAGTAACAATTTTATTTAAAAAAAAAAGTGTACATAACTAAATATTTCCTACTATTCATTAAGATTTACATTTATTTTAAGTAACTACATCATTTTTAAGTATGAATAAACTTATTTAGAATTATGGTAACAATAAATGACCAAGTGGTGTTCAAAATTTTCTAACAAAAACTTGTAGCTTCTGTCTGAGTACATATATTTATATATGGAAAAACTTCGTTCAACATCAACTGATGTAACGGGAGCATTTTTCAAACTAACCAAAACATTTGGTTCTAAATTAATTGTTTCCGAAATATTTCCAGCTAGAACACTGACTACTTCAGAAAGAATATGGTAACCTTTATTTTTTTTCCATAGTAGCTTCAAATTTTTTTAAAATATCTTTTCCAATATTACCTCTAACGTTCCGACAACATGACGCAAATTCTTTTATTAATGCTGTACTTTCGAACAATGACAGTTTTGGTGATTCTAACTGAGTAATTGTTTTTTGAACAAAACTAAAATTTGATTTTATAAATGAAAGTTCTTGTTAAAGCAAGTTACTCTGAAAAGTTTGTTTAGAATCCAAAAGAGATTGGGAACTTTCATCTGTTAACGTATCAATTATGTTCTTTATTTTAACAAAATGATCTGCATAAAAATTAGCTGCTTCTAAACATGTTCCCCATCGCGTTAAAATAGGTTGTGGTGGAAGAGGAATGTTAGGTAGCATTTCTTTATAAAGTTGAATTATTATAGGAGATTTAAGAAATACTTTTTTGACACTGGATATCATGGTATTTACAAGAGGAAACTTTTTTCGTATTTCCTCTGCAACTCTGTTTAATCCATGCGCTACACAAGTAACATGTATTAAATCTGGGAAAAATATTTTTAAATTTTGTCCTGCTTTCACCATATAAGTAGCAGCAACCGATAAAATAAGCAGTAATTTATTAGAAGGAATAGTTGTCGGAAGAAAAAAAGTTGCTAATGTTCGTGTATAAAACGCGAAATTGTTAAATCATTTGTTTTCTCAAGTTGCTGGCATGAAATAAGATGAGATTTTGGTAAGGTATCTTCTTTAAGAACACCAATCAATAAATGAGCAATATACTTTCCTGAGGAATCAGTGGTTTCGTCTACAGATATGTAAAAATAATTATCTGCAATTTCTTCCTTAATATTAATTAACACCGACGAGTATAGCCCGTTCACATTATTTCTTCTTAGAGACCGATCACTTGGAACATTACGTTTGCAATATTTTTTTAGAAACGAACTAAAATTTACATTTGCTAATTTTGAAAGCGGTATGTTTGCAGACACTAATGCGCGACACAAGTCTTCATTAAAAGTTTCTTGCTCATCTAATTTTTTTGAAGTAGATTGGAAACATTTAGCCATTGAAGTTTGATTTTTTCCTCCTATTTTTCCTTTTTTTGCAATGTGTGAAACAGTTCTCACATGTTGGTCTATCTGAAATTTCTTCTCACATGCTATCTATAAATAAAAATAAAAACCTTTATTTTAACCCAACCTTTAAAATATAAAAATATACAAGGTGTTTTTGGTTAATAAAATAACTGGTTTGGAAAAAAAAACACTCGCTAAGTGTTTTAAATGCAGTGTTAATCCACAAATTAGTTTTTGTTACTAACCATTAGTACATCATATAACTTATTTTAAAATTCAACAAAAGTTTTTTTTTGTTAATTCAATTACAATAAAAATAATTGTGTTTTAGAATAGCTGACTTCATAAAAAAAAGTAAAGGTGAAAAATTTTTCTAAATACACACCATTGTATTGTACCATGGACAATTTTTTTCTCACTAAAGGAAGCTATTTTTCATTTAAAAACAACCTACGAGTACTAAATTTCAAGTAAATACGTTTATTGGTTTTAAAGTTATTGTTGTTATTAACTAAAAGAATTTAATTTTTTTTAATTTTAACACCCTGTATCTCGAAAAGTAAATAAGTTTGACCCCTCATTAACTATATCGTTTTGTTCAATTTTTCGAGAAGTATCTACAGTCAAACGTTGTAAGTGTCATTTGGAAACACCCTGTATGTATGAAATATTAGATATTAATAGAAAATATTAGATACTTACAATTTTGCCACAAACTGAACAGTAGATTTTTCCCATATCCATAGACAGCTCTTTATAAGGTTTAATCCAAGTTGAAGCACTGGTTGTTTTAGGCATTATAAAATCACAATCTTCCTTTTTGTTACGCACAACGAGTGTTTACTCTTTGAATATCAAAACAAAAATTATTTACAAATCTGAGCATCAAATTAGAAATGTTTAGGTACCTAATTCAATAAACTGGGAGATTTTGGAAAATCCCTAAATTAGGAACAAAACTATTAGCCGTTTACCTGCTGTTAAGATACAATAAATTGTAGATAAATTTGGAGATTAGATCATAAAATGCAAATGAGCGAACCCTTAGTGATTATCCAATAACTGTATGCCTCAGTGACCGAGACTTTCTAAGAATGTTGAGGGCTACTTAAATTGATCTTCTTTGAAATTGTAAATGTTTTGTACCTGTAGAGATTACGTACTTAGATCATTTCTTTATTAAAATGACTACAAAATTTTATACAAGAATTGAAATAAATTGGTATGTTTCAAAATTTTCAAATACAGTATAAAAATCTGAACTGTTATGCACTTTATGCAAACTTTTATACAAATATGCCAAAATATGAAATATTTGCATAAAATATGCACAATATGCAATATGCATATTTGCCGAAGTCTAATAATAACTAATGATGGAAAAATAGACTGGGAAATAACAAATAGAGCAAAGAAATCAAACAAGTTATACTATGCGTTAGCCCCAATAATGGGAAAAAGAGAACTTACACGAGAAACAAGAATAAAAATATATAACACAATAGTGATACCGACTGTGCTCTATGCAAGTGAAAACTGGACAATTCTGGAAAAACATAAGAGCAGTATAAACGCAACTGAAATGAGACATCTAAGAAGGATAGTTGGAAAGACAAAATGGGATAGATTAAGCAACGAGACTATTAGGAGAATGGTTAACCAGGAACCGATAATGAACAAAATAGCAAAGAGATAAATGAACTGGCATGGGCATCTGATGAGGATGCAATCCAATAGCATAACAAGAAAAGTTTATGGAACAAAAAACATCGGAAAAAGAAAAAGAGGCAGACCAAGAAAAAAATAGATACAGCAAGTAGTGGAGGCGGGAAAACTTAAACAAACATAACTCGAGGAATTGAAAATAATGGCAGGAAACAGAAAATAATGGAAGAGGTGGGTAAATGGAAATTAAAATAGCTAGCCCAAATCCGACACCCTGATAGGGTAAAAGGAAGGGGAGAAAGAAAGAAAGAGAAGTAGAAAAAGAAAAGTATAAAAGAAAAAAAATTCTTCAGCCCGGCTAGCAAACAAATAATTTACATAATGTCCAAAAAGAACCATTAATCCTATGAGCAAAAGTAGAAAGAAATAATAGCTATCAGACAAAAAAAAACCCTGTACATGATGATATAATTGAAAATATTTGAAAATATCGAGCTGGAGATACACGCGATGTTATTAACCAGTATTCATGGGCTAATTATCAACGTACTTATATTATCAATTGTCTATCGTCAAAGAGAAAAATAAACAGTTGTGATCTCATAAATCAATCAATTTGGATCAACAATGCCTCTGACCATAAAACAATTTGGCTAGAACGTAATATTTGGGAGATATTGTGGCCCTGCTTCAACGGTTCAGAAATTTTATATAACCTATATTATAAAGAATATATAAAATTTGGTCATCTATTTTTCTTTCCGTCCGTCAGAAGCCGAAAGTCATATCTTAGAAAGGGTATATCTGATTTCAAACAAACTAGGTGAACCGGTTAAGTTGTAACAACTAAATTGAAATGACTTTGGACTCTAGGGCTAATACCCAGGCGTGGGATCAGATGTTAACTAATATATAAATGGCGTGCTATCCATCAAAATTATAAACACTCTAGGGTTAGTTTCTAGGGTTTTTCCGAATGATATAATGTGAAATGGTTTTACATAAGTAGTAATAATGACAAATGGGATCGGGTTAGATAAACTAATATAGTACAGTTAATTACTGGTGATAAACTAATTTATGTAACACTGAAAACTCTGTTTTCAAAACTTCCAGAAAATTTCAGAGTGCCTTTCTCAAGTGATCTATTTTTGGCATACGTTTACACTTTATAGTCTGTAATGAAATAGGTTGAGGAGGGGAGAAATGTTTCTCTCAAGTTGGTCATTCAGAATTATATCTATGTTTTTTAATTTGGTAATTTCTATAGATTCTAACAAAGGTAGCTTAAGGCCTGTATTTTGAATGTAAAGAATTTAAAATTCGTCATTAAAAGAATGATTATGATCTAGAAGGTGAAGCGCGTACGTAGAATCTGTTGTTCTATTATTGAAAGCCCTTTTATGTTCT